ACCTCCAGCGCCTACCGGCGGGCCTACGGCGAGTGCAGCGGGTTCAAGATCCCCATCGTGGGGGTGCACCTCAAGGACCTGGTGTCCCTGCACGAGGCGCTGCCCGACTGCCTGGGCCCCCTGCTCAACCTCACCAAGCTGCAGAGTCTCTACCAGCAGGCGCTGGAGCTGCGGGCGCTGCAGGAGGCCCTGCCGCCCTTCCACGCCAACAAGGACCTGGTGCACCTGCTCACGGTGAGCCCCCCGTGCAAGAGATGGGTTGGGTGTGCAAGACGGGTGCACGTGGTTTGGGGTCAAGTGTGCAAGCAGGCCCAGCAAGGGTGGGGTGCCGGGGGAGCCCCTGCCCTTCCCCCCCACGGGGGCGGCTGCTGCCCCTCCGCCTCCGGCCCCGCAGTGGGGCAGTTCTCCAGAGCCCTGGCTAGTGTCCTGTGTCCCCCACATGCACACACTGGTGGTGTGAACATGGCACTGGTGCAAACACACGCAGAACCCCCAGCGGAGAACAGCAGTGCATTCGCACGACTGCCCCAGTGCAATTGCACGACTAGCTGTGCCCCGATCAGCGGGGGGCAGCAAGCCCAGCCCAGTATCTGGGAAGGCTAGTCCCAGCAGGACCCTCCTCCTCGCCTCTACCCCCTTCTCTGCCCCCCAGCTCTCCCTTGACCTGTACTACACGGACGATGAAATCTACGAGTTGTCGTACGCCCGGGAACCCCGCTGCCCCAAGTCCCTGGTAAGATGGGGGGGCCCTGAGCTGATCCCCCAACCCTCACTCCCTGTTGTGGGGGGCTTGTCTGACCTTCATTCTTCCTTCCCCCAGCCGACCACCCCCTTCAAGCCCCCCATGGTGGTGGTGGAGTGGGCCCCAGGCGTGGCCTCAAAACCCGACCGGCTCACCATCAGCAAACACGTCCAGCAGATGGTGGAGGTAAGTGGGGAGTCCCCCACTCTGGGGGCAGCCCCCTAACTGGGCCAGGAGAGGCCTGCCTCTGAGCCAACAGGGGGCATCGTCTCTGCCCCATAGCCCAGCTGAGGGCAGGGCGCCTTAGCCAGGTGAGCTGCTGCCAGCAGGGGCCAGGACTCGCACCTGGGCTGCAGGAGGCTATTATCCCCTATATGGACCAGCTGGGTGGAGGAGGGTCCCTGCCCAGGCAGCCCATCTTGGGGGTGGGGCCCCTCAGGACTGTCCAGGCTCTGCCCCCAGCAGGCAAAGGGGGGTATTTGTCTATTGGCTGCCCTGAGGTACCAAATGCCCCCGCCCCCACGGGCTGCTGGCCAGCACGAGGGGCTGCGTGGGGCGGGGTCACACTGTGCTGCCCTCCCCTGCAGTCCGTGTTTAAGAACTACGACCACGACCAGCGCGGCTGCATCTCCCAGGAGGACTTTGAAAAGATCATGGCCAGTTTCCCCTTCTCCTTCTACGGGCTGGGGAAGGACCGGTGAGTGTGCGTGCACGTGGGGGCGTGACCCCTGGGTTCCACCCCCAGTTCTAGGAGAGTGGAGCCTAGTGGTTAGCGCGGAGGGGGCTGGGAAGCAGGACTTTCTGCAATTCCTGCCATGGCTCTGTGCCTCAGTTTCCCCCACTGCGCCCCTTTATCAGTCGGGCCCCTCACACTCTCGCCCCCCGGCAGCGAGGGGCCATACAGTCGGGAGGAGATCACCGGCTACTTCATGCGCGCCTGCGCCGTCTTCGCCAAGCTGGGCCTCGGCTTCCTGCACGACTTCCACGAGGCCACCTTCCAGAAGCCCACG